GAATGTCTCGTAACTGTGATATTAAAGTCTCTCGAAAGTCAAACCTACTAAATGTAACATGCAGATCCGCAATCTCTCGAAATCACATACTCATCGTCTAATGTTTAATGCTTTGATCGCTTGCACACCCAATCATATAATCGGCCCCGGTTTCTAGCTTCTTCCTGCCATTTCGAATCCATCAACCTTGTGCAATTAATTGTTCTCTATTTTTCCTAGTGTTGTGCTTTTATTCCTTTTACGAAGCATCAAGTGACTTTCATGTGATGATTTAATGTCACGTATGTTTTCCACCAAGTGGGGATCACATCATGCTATTGCTTGCATGATTTTGAAAGGTCTGAGACATACATGACATGTTTGGTCGGTTAAAGACCTGAATGCAAGACTCATCAAACATTGTCTACTCTAACTGAATGTTTTCTTTATAACTAGTCGTTGACACGTGCGTTGCACGAATTTTGTATTTGTTGTGTTTTTATTAGTGTAGAAATTGTAGATATTAAAAAAAAGTAGTGTAAGATTTATTGGATTATTTAAGAGTCTTGGGAGCATATTATTGCTTCGCTACCGCTTCATCTAACAAGATGATTATTTCAATAGCTGATATTACTGCACAGAGAAACTCACCAAAAATAAAATTGAAAACATTACGTGTATGTAGATGATAATATAAACGTTTGACATGTATAAAGATTGCATGTTTACAAGGGTAAGAAATATTTGATTAAATCTACTGTAAATACCAAATAACATTAAAATAAAATGAATAAAAAAGTACTGAAAATGAAAAATTATATAGTTAAATATTAAAAAATGAAGTAAAAGAAGAACAAACAATATGGAATGAGCGAAAACAATTTATGAGAAATAAGCTTTAGCGCATTAGGAAAAATAATTAACACGCCTAATAACATTCTCCATCACATTTTGTCGGGCAATTTAGTTTCTGCCACAATAGCCAATTCTGTATGCATCTTATCAAATGAATTTTCAACACATATAAGTTGATCAGATTAGAAACTATACACTTCATTAAAATAAAAAGGAAAACCTTAGAAAAAGTACATTTTTAGCAAATTCGTTGAATATTTCAGACTATGTTCCATTTTCTTGATATCTACAAAATCGGCACTCTTGCGCTTAAACATTAATTCAACATATTAAGCAACAATTTTAGCCTGTAACTAAAAATTACTCATTTTCTAGAATGAGAAGGCCATGTGATTGATGGTCCTATGGTTATGAAGTAAGAATATCAACTTATAACTAAATTATAATTTAAACAACAAACATGTAAAACATAAATAAAATGAACAGTTTTGGTAGCTGTCGTTAATAAAAAGTTGTTAANAGCTTTTTAAAACTTAGCTAAACATGCTTTCAATAAATAGCTTTTTAAACTTTAGCTAAACATACTTTTAATAAAGCGATGAAGTCATTAGAGAATCACCATAGTTATCATGTGAATAAATTCTTTGAGACTTCAATCGAGATGTTAAGACTTCCACCCATAACAAAAAGAGCGAATCAAACACCAAAAATATAAACATTAAAAAAGTGAATTACAAGTGCTGCAAGAAATAGAAAAGTTTTACAAACTCTAATAGTCTTTATTGTGTGTGTGTGTGTGTGTTCCAAATGTGTACATTTGGCAGGTGAGCACAAAAGACAACTGATTTCATATGTTACCTTTATGTTTGCAACTGTACTGTTGGAGTCTCTTTAGTTGTGTTCTTTAGTATGAATCAAATGAGTGTAACAGATATTTTCAGCAATTTTTTGCTCAAATATGGTTATCCATTAATAGCAGGATCAACGAGAATGTAAAAAGTATTCATTATAGCAAATGTCTACCTCAATGTTTCGTCTGTATATAGTCATCCTGTCTGGAGAAACTAATTCTATTGGATATCCAAAAATGAAATATTCTATATATTTGAGCAAAAAAATTGCACAGTTTGGCCTCAAGAAAGTTTTACGTTTGATTAAAGTTGTATCATAGATATAAATTTAAAGTAAGCAAAAAATGACATATTATAGTAAACAGTGAATAGTTTAAATACTCACCCATTATTTGCACAAGATAATGTGCACTTGTACTTCCTTCTTTTATACTTCTTTGCAACATCGTCAGGCGAGTACACTCATTTTCAAAGCCGAAATCTTGAATTGAATATTTCTTTGAAACAACGGTGCAACTGTCCTTGATAAGCCATCTCAATAGTTTTAACTTCAGGTCAAGATTATAATAAAATAAATAAATGTAAATTAAATATATTAAGTATGTAAATAGATTTATTACGATGAATAAACTTTACTAACCCCAATATTCATATCTTGATGAGATTTTGTATTATAAAATGTTAATGACTTGGTGTCAGGAAGATCATTGACAAATTGTAACATTAAGGAATAGAAGAGTAAGTCATGTTAGAATTTTTCAATACAATGACAATACAAATAACATTTTTTTCATTGTTAAATATGCCAGTCTGAAAAATGAATCCATGAAATACAAATCTTAGAATCAGACCTCATATTTCGATGGTTATGCAAAAGTCTTTCCATCAGGTTGATACGTTGACACAATCGTAAAGCTAAAAAAATGGAGGAAAAAAATAATTGAAGTGCCTGCATAATCACTAACTTTGGAATAAAACTTTGTCAAGTTTTATTGCTAAAGTTTACAGTGGCTATCGGAATACCACCTTATTGAGCAAACTTCAAATTTAACAGAAAACTATTAGTTTGAAGATAATATATATTTTTCATAATTTATTTATTTGTTTATTGTTGTTATGCAAATGGTTTGCTACTTCGAAACGGGGATCGACCTACCTAGTCAGGTCGCAGGAGTCGAGGGGGCGTGCCCCTCGTGGGGGTTCGGGGGCAACGCCCCCGACATGAAGAGATATAATTAATATGTAAGCAAATCTAACTTAAATTTCAATATATCCTACTATTATAAATAAAACAGTATATAACAAATTATTAACGTGAAATTGTATTTAGTTTGTGTAAAATATAAGCAAATGGTATCACCTAAATTTAATAACAAGAAAAAGAAGTCAATTTGAAAAAAAAAAAAAAGGAAGACTTGTATCCAAAGTAAAAAAAAATAAATTAATTATAAGATGTCTCCACACGGAATTTCATAATGTTGTTTCACCATAAGACCGTTCATCATTTTTCTTGTATGTGTTGCATCTAAATTGGGGTTTACTGGTGTATAGGAAGCAGAAACTGCATTGGGTGCTAGTATACAAGACCTAGTGTTTTTTCGGGTTAGAGATGTTGCTCCAAACAAGGTAGAAGCTACAACAATACTTTGTTGACTCAGTTCATCTATTTGCATCGTGTGTGAAGTCAAAATCTAAGAGGCAATGTATTGTTTAAGTTTTAGATTACCAGATGAAGCATGTGTCAGACATCGTTTTTATAGCAGATTGGGAAAAAAAAATATGTGATATAAAACTGAAGGACTAGAGGTGTGAAGATCTGGGAAATGAACACTAACATCTCACTGGATAACTGTTGCATCTACAGTAACCCAAAACCGTCTTTTTTATTATAGTAGGATATGAAATATTTCCCATGCCACGTTAAAAGTGGAAGGGTGAAATGGATATTTCAACAAAAAAGTCACCAACGTTGACTTCCATGTTCGTTTGTCACTTGTGAAAAATGATCATTGTTCTTGTAAACAAAATGGAACCCACTTGAGAGCTGTAATTAATTGATTTTTTAGGAAATAGTGTGTCCAAACAGAGGCATAGTGTGGTCTATATGACTTATGACTTCGAGTAGACTCAAGGCATTAAGAAGGATTGCCAATTGTTCATGACAAATCACATATAAGCTACATATAATGGTGTAACACATTTTTTAAAAAGTATGTTTGTTGATAAAAAAAAAATTAGAAGTAAATTTTACCTACCCCTACAATTCTAACACAAATGAATACAATTACAGTGAATACAGAACATGTTTCCCGCCACTAGATTGAATGGACATATCATCTCAATCCTCGACAAATGCAACAACCTTAATCACCTCAAACAACTTCAATCCCGTGTCATCACTCTCGGCCATGGCCAAAACCATTTCTACACATTCAAATTGCTCCGTTTAGGTATAGAAAACCTCTCAAATACTACCTACGCCAGGTACATATTCGACCACTTCAACTGCACCAATATTTATCTTTACGTCGCGATGATTACTGCATACAATATACTATGTGATCATACTTCATTTGTGGAAATTACTTCGAAACCTAACGAGTTTATATTTCCTATAATTTTGAAGTCTTGCCTTAAAGTCGGTAAGCCTTATGGGGAATCAAATGACGCACACCTAGATTTAGAAATTTGGATTTTGGCAATACACGGTTGTGCAAACATCACTTTTGAATGCGTATTCGAGATATGTTGTTGATATTTTGTTGGGTTATTTCACCCAAATAACACGTAGACAAAAATAAACACACCCAGAATGCACACTGTAGAAATAAAAGTAACACCAAAAATGTTGACCCAGTTCGGCAAAGCTTAATTTGGGGGGCTCAGTGGTAAAATCGAGCCCATCACTATGCAAGAACCTTCCAAGAGAGAGTGAAATAATCAGTACAACTAAGACTCAGCATTCAGTCTCAGCCTAAGTGGCGATTTTCTCGTGGCGATTTTTCTTTGATCAAATCCAATACAGCCTCAAATTAAGCTCCAAAGAAAGATAAATCCTCAAAAAACGTGGTTTTTCATACGGTTGATCAAATCCAATGGCCCAAGAAAGCTCCAAAGAAAGATAAATCCGGGTGATGGTCAAGAGACCAATAAAATCACTCCAAGTGAGACTAAAGTAAAAATGTATTTTCTCTTCCAAAATCGGGTTTTAGAAGCACAATTCACTTATATATTTTCGAAAATGATGTTTGATAAAATGCTCGAAAGGAATGTTGTGTCGTGAACTACAATGCATTCGGGTTACAAGAGGGGATTACAGTTCTTCTTTCTGAAGAAATGCCCGAGGGTATTAGAGACATGCCGTTTTGGAATTCTATTGTTGCCGGATGTATGCAGAATGAGTTGTTTTCGAAGGTTATTGAGTTCTTTAGGAGAATGATTTTGAGAAGGGGATTGAGGGAAGGAATAGGTCTAATCAGGTGGCAGGTGGCAGTGGTTTATACGCTTTTTGCTTGTGGGCATTGTTGGATGATGCAGCTTGGGAAAAGCATTCGTGCGTATATTCATATGATGCTTTTGGTTTGGATTTGTTGCTTGTAAATTCTTTGATTGATATGTATGGGAAATGCGGGAGCTTAAAAATAGCAATAATAGTAGTTGATTGGATTAAAAAGGTGAATTGGACTTCTTGGAGCCCTATGATAAATTGTTTTGCATTATACGGTCAGACTGAGGGAGCTTTTGGTGTTATCACGAATATGCTGCTTCATGGGGATGAAGTGAAGCCAGATGGAGTGACTTTTATAGGGTTGTTAAATGCTTGTACCTCTTGAGAGTTATTCAAACAGGGGCGTTGTTATTATGAAATGTTATAAAAAAGAATAAGATACAGCGAATGAGACAAAAAATAACGAAAAAGATTAATATGTAGAAAGATGAAGACTTGGACACGAAAAATGTATCGTTGTTCTCAAACAATATTTGTCTCCTCCACAATGCTTTTAAGGATTGAAATTGACAAATAATTTGTAGGATTAATCAAATCTAATGGAAGAACACCAAAAACAAAGTGTTTCTTCAAGGTGAACAAGTGAAAAGGTGAAATTTGATTATGTAAAGTGACAATTTCTTCAAGGTTTTTGAATGAAAAATGGAATGAATTTTTATTATATTTTGGAATGAAAACTATTATGTATTTATAGTTTCCCAACATCCCATACGATATGGTTCCAAACTCAAGTGAATAGGTGCATTGATTCACTAATAAATCACCAATTTTTTTTTTTTTTTGAAAAAATCCAGCCAACGGTAAAAAATAAAAAACTTGAACTATGCGACCGCATAGTTATAGCAACGGCGCCCCAAAATTCCCTGTGGGCGACTATGCGACCGCATGCCTATATGGCTTATGCGGTCACATAGGCCATTTTTATGGCGCCAAATATATTTTTTCTTCCTTTTTTCAATTCATCTATTCACGATCTTTTTAATTCATCCAACAACGTTTTTGAACAATAAGATTCCAACAATCCCCCACTTGTTCAAAATCAACTTTAATCACATAATCAAATGTCAACACTCATGCATAAGAATTAAATCTCATAAAGTATTATTGAAATTCCAGATAACTAAAACGCTTTGAACCAGTTATTCCTTGTGACAATACCGATGAAATTACACACACAAGTGTTAAATTTCCACAAGTTCATGTAACTCGATTAGTGCTAACATGACCTTGCACTTATCCTATTTCTTTGAACTTTTAAAGAAAGAAATCTCCAACTTTCTAATGGGAAACCACCTTGAAGTTCACACAGGTGAAATTTTTCCAATATCTTTGTTACTTTTAGATATATGTGTACTCTATACTGGACTTCATCGAGAGTTTTAATTATAACTCATCCATCCAACAGTGACAACCAACACTATTTACTAAAGATTGGGTTTAATAGTGTTGAGATTCATCCACTTATCAAATGACTTGTTATTACCATAGTTGTCAGACCTGACTCGGATACTAACTCGGACAATCAAAACGGGTCAGTGGGTCAGTGGTTCGATCGGTGACTCAGTGGTTGGACCGATGGGTCAATTCTTGTTAAATATATTATTATCTATTTATTGAATAATAAAATTTTGATATTTTCTAATACTAACTAAATTAACTTTATGCAATTTTGTCAAAATTCTTTTCACCACTTTCCAGTAACAGAATATGTTAGGCTTATTTGATTCACCAAAAGTGGAACCAAACTATAAATTAACTATAGGAGGAATAAATAACATTAGTAAATTACATATTTGATTCACCAAAAGTGGAACCAAACTTGCTAATCTGCAAGTTCACTGTCAACTACAAACATTACGCATTCATGGAAAATTTTCCATCTCGGCAGTCGGAAATTGGAAACAATAATCAATGAATCGATTCCATATTCACCCATAAAATTACATTTAAAACAGTTATTATATAAAGTATACAACATATAGACAACAATAACACGAAATTATGGTAAAAATCTTCAAAAATTCAGCTATCTTGAGAAATATTTTTGACATACTGTAATCGAACAAAAAAGTGAAAATCACAAAAAAAACCCGCAAGTTTGGGACTTACATCTTCTTATTCCATCTAATAAAACTTGAAATTAGAGCTTTGGATTCTTGGGAGTTGAATTGCAAGCGACAGATGATGGAATTCTGGGGTTCTATGGCATCGAATTCGACTGTAAAAGAGAATGGGTTTTTATGGTTTTTATATGGATCGGGCGGGTTAAATGAATTTGGGCCAACGGTTTAACGCAAAACCCGGCGGTTCAGTTGTGTTTTTTTGGGTTGACTGCTTAGTTAAAAAATTAGGCTGCTCGGACCGGACCATGGTTTGATTCGACGGGTTCCGGATCGAACCGGCCGGTCCGATCCAGGTTTAATAACACTAGTTATTACCCTTGAACCTAAATATATTTGTTTAGTATTTTTTTTTTTTTTTGGTAGGGCTGCTATCATTAGTGGATTTAATTAAGGGGTTTCAACCCCATCCTACTTGATGTCAATCTTACTAACTCTATCATGAGAGATTTAGTAAACAAATTCGCTAAGATCTCACTAGACTTAACAAATGTAAGAGAAATTATTCCATGCTTTATTAACTTCCTTACATACTCATGTTTTAAACTCATATGTCTAAACTTTTCATTATATACTTCATTATAAGGTCGAGCAAGAGTAGCTTGTCTATCATAAAAAGTAGGTATTGAAGAAATATCCTTTATATCTAAAGGTATTTCATATAATAAATCTCTTAGCCACTCAACTTCTTTTCCAATTTTGGCCGATGCTACAAACTCCAACTCCATTATTGAGTGAGTAATGCCAGTTTGTTTCTTAGACTTCCAAGTAACTGCACCTTTTCCAAGAGTAAATACCCAACCTGAAGTGGACTTATTTTCTCTTGCACCCGATATCCAACTTGCGTCAGTATATCCTTCCAATATTTTAGGGAACATTGTATATTGTAGTCCAAGGTTTTTGATTCTCTTTAAATAACCAAGAACCCTACCAATGGCCTTCCAATGTTTGGAACTTGGATTTCTAGTAAACCTACTTAGTTTACTCACGGCAAATGCTACATCAGGTCTTGTACATTGTGGTGCGTATATAAGACTTCCAATTGCACTTGCATATTCTAATTGAGATATTGCTCTACCATCGTTCTTTATCAATTTGAACTTGGATCTAACGGGGTATTAGCCTCTTTAATGTTCAAGTGTTTGGACTTATTTATCACATTTTCAGTATAATGTGATTGACTCAATGTAAAACCCCCAACTATCCTTTTTATCATTTACTTTAGTGTAGAGACATTTATCAATCGAATTATGATTAAAACCATTTGATAATATTTTAGAGTCAAATTTTTCATGCCACTTTTTAGGGGCATGTTTTAATCCATATAAGGATTTGATTAGTTTACACACCTTATGTTCATTTCCCAGTAGAACAAACCATTTTGTTCGTTTCATATAGACCCCATCTTCGAGATTTCAACTTAAGAATTCATCTTGACATCCATTTGATGAACATGTAAATCATATATAGATGTTAGTGCAAACAATATCCTTATCGAAGTTATTCTAGCCACAGGTGCATATGTGTTAAAGTAATCTATTCATTCCTTTTGACAATACCATTTAGCTACTAATCTAGCTTTATAGGTATTGAATGTTCCATTGGAATTATATTTCCTTCAAACACCCATCTGCAACCAATGGATTTAGAACCCTTTGGTAAATCAGCTATTTTTCAAGTGTTATTTAAAATAGTAGAATCCATTTCATTATTTATTGCTTCTTTTCAAAATATGCAATCTCTAGAAGATATTGCTTCTTTATAGGTTTTAGGATACTTTTGACTTGAAGAACGAAATGAATTGTTCTTGCAACATCACTTATATCTCCATCCACTAGGTATAATGAAATGAGTTGGGTTAGGTTAAGTAGGCTACCTAGACTATTTTCTTTTCTAATTCTCTTACTTCTTCGAGGTTCACTTTCAACATGTCTTGTAGATGTATCTCCTTGTGATTCTCTAAAAGTCAGAATGTCAAAATAAGTTTTATTTTGAGAATTTCTTGTTGCCAATATATTCTCAAAGAACTCCACATCCCTTGATTCTATTATAACATTTGATTCCACGTTTAATAATATATAGGCCTTGCTATTTAAAGAATATCCTACAAAGACATATTTAATACCTCTAGGGCCTAGTTTAGTTCTCTTAGGATCCATATTCTTGTAGTAAGGAAGACATCCACACACTTTGAAATAATCGATATTTGGTTTCCTATCTTTCCATATTTCATATGGAGAAGTTTTATTTTTTTCAAAAGGAATCATATTTACTATTTGACAAGCACTAAGTAAGACTTCACCCCATAAGTTATAAAGTAATTCAAAATTCAATAACATGTCATTTATCATCTCTAAAAATGTCATATTCTTTTTTCTGCTAGACCATTTTGTTCAGGTATTCGTGGTGCAGAATATTGATGTATTATTTCATTTTGTTCACAAAAAAAAATTGAATTCATTAGAGAAATATTATCCACATCTATTACTTCTTAAAGTTTCAAGTTTCCTTCCTAATTGATTTTCAACTTCAATTTTATATATTTTAAAAGTACTAAAAGTTTCATCTTTATGCTTTAACAAGTACACATAAGTATACCTAGAAGTCATCAATAAACGTAATAAAATATTTATTACCTCGTCTTGTTAGCATGCCATTCAATCCACATATATCAGAATGAAAAAGTTCGAGTAAGTTTGTTGATCTTACTACACTATGAAATAGCTTTTTAATCATCTTAGATTTAATACAAGTTTCACATTTTTCTAAGTTATCAATTTCACATTATATCAATCCACATTTAATCATTCTTTCCATAATAATAACTCCTATATGTGCTAATTTACCATGCCATAAATTAAATGAATTAGTAATATAGGCAAATGATTTGTTTTTATTTTAATTATCCTCAAGAGTACAAAGTTTGACCGTTCCATCAATAGAATAGTCATTTCCAACAAAATACTCATTATGAGTTAGTACAAGTTTTTCGGACTTAAATACAGTTTTAATTCCAAGTTTTCCCAACAAAACTCCACTTGCTAAGTTCCTATTCATTTCGGGTATATGAAGGACATTGGTCAAAGTAATCTTCTTTTCCGAAGTGAAGATGATTTTCATATTGCCTTTACCAATCACTTTTGATCTTCCTTCATTTCCTATTTGGATTTCTTGACAATCTTCAATGTCATTATAAGTTTTGAAA